GGGCCTCGCCGAGAGCCAGGCCCGGCCCGGCAGCGAGGCTCAGCCGGCCGCGGGGGCCCGCGGGGGCGCGCCCCCCCAGGCCGGCGAGGGCGAGACGGCCCGGCCCGCCGCGTCCGAGTCCGGCCTGAGCCTGCTGTGCAAAGTCACCTTCAAGTCGGGGCCCCACCCGCCCCCCGCGCCGGCCCCGGGCCCCCTGGCGGCCAAAGCCCCCCTCGGGGCCGGAGGCGGCGCGGGACTGTTCGCCTCCTCCGGGGCCATCTCGTACGCCGAGGTGCTGAAGCAAGGGCCCCCCCCTCCCGGAGCCACGCGACCCTCGGGGGAGGCGCCTCGCGCGGCTCAGGAAGCGGAGGGCGGCGATGGAGACGGCGAAGGGTGCCCGGGGCCCCCCGCGGCGCCCGCTCCCCTCGCCCGGGCGCTGCCACCCCCCCCTTACACCACCTTCCCAGGTTCGAAGCCCAAATTCGACTGGGTGAGCCCCCCCGACGGCACTGAACGGCACTTCCGATTCAATGGGGCCGTCGGGGGCATCGGGACCCCCCGGCGGCGCGCGACCGCGCTCTCGGGGCCGTGGAGCTCCCCGCCGCCGAGGTCAGGTCAGGCCCACGCGGTGTCAGGGCCCCGGAGGCCCGCCCCCGCCCTGCTGGCGCCGCCCATGTTCATCTTCCCAGCGCCCACCAACGGCGAGCCCGTCCTCCCGGGGCCTCCCAGCCCGCAGACACCTCCACTGCCACCGCCGCCGCCCACCCCGCCAGCCACGCCGCCGCCGGTGCCGCCGCCGCCCGCGCTCCCGAGGACGCCGACCCTGGTGGCCCGGCCGCCCACCCCAGGCCCCGGCCACGCGGAGTCGGCTCTGGCTCCCGCCCCCGCCGCGGCTGCCGACCTGGCCCCGGCCACACCCCAAGTTCCAGCAGCGGCTCCCGCTGAGCCGTCACCCCCGGTGCCCCAACCCATCAAGATTCGCACACGCAGGAACAAAGGTCCCCGCGCGGCCCGGGCTGTGCTCCGTGAAGAAGGGACATCTGGAGACGGCCCTCGAGAAGCCGGCGCGGCTCCCGTGACTGACAGCAGCAGCAGCAGCGGAGCGGGTGGCGGGGCCAGCAACGGAGCCTCCGCAGCCGGGACCCCTAACAAGGGCGCAGCGCGCCACTGGCCGCCCTTCGAGGTGCTCAACTCGTGTCCCTGCAAGTGTTACTGCCGCCATCAATCCCGCCACCGTCGCCTGCCACGCAACGTGTCTGCCTGGTGAGGGAGCCCGAGGAGCGCGGGGTGCAGGGGACCCTCCAAATTCCTGCACCCATTCTCCCCGGATATAAGACTCAACACTGTGGCCTCTTGACTCAACCCAGCTGAACCCCAGGAGCCTTGACCCTTGGTCCTTATTCTCCGTAGCCTTCCTGCCGTCCTGACCCTATGAACTGCCTTGACCCTGTCCCCGGGCACTAAGGACCAGCTCTATAGTTTTTCAGAGATGGGGGTTGTCTTTCTGGAAGCTCAGGGTGGAGTCAATTAGTAGGCCTCCAACTTTCCCCGGTCCAGGCAAACGGCCAGCTTTCCACACTTCATTCCAACCTCACCTCTCACCTACCCCAGACCAAGGCTCTGGCCACTAGAGTGGATGTGGCCCAGTCTTCTGGCTGCAAAAGCTTTCCCAAGAGCGGACAGCAGCCCTCTCCTCCTCTGCTGGATGTGGTCGCCCGGTGCTGGCTATGGACCCTGGTCTCCTTAGGGGGCTCAGCCAGGCAGGGCTCCTCCAAATGCCCCCCGGGGACCTGAGAGCCTTCAGGGTTGCCCTTACGCCCGTGGGGGCAGTGGCGTGTGGAGCCCACAGACACCCTGTCCACTCTCCCTCCTCCCAGGCTGAGCACACCCACCAACCACCTGAGCGAGCCACCCTGGGTGGCAACCGTCAAGCTGGCTGGCTCCCTGGTGGCCGGCCTGGAGCGCTACGACCTGCAGGCCACCCATTCCACCTGAGCGCGACTGCCCAGCTCCCCCTGCCTCCCCTTCCTGGCCAATAAAGTGCCCAGTCTACACAGCTTGAGCTGCCTATCCACTACACTGGGGGGGTGGGGGGAGCTGAGGGGCACAGCCAGGCTTCCTTTAAAGTCCCAACTCCTTCCAACATGATGCCAGCCCAAAGTGCTGCTAAGTGAGCATCCATCCAAACAGAGGCCCCTTTGTAGTCAGGGCTGTGCCTGAGCCAAGGTCACGGGTCACTCAGGAGGGGTGGTGAGGACAAGCAACTGGACAACGTTCTTGAAAACCCCACGGTGGCTTGGCTAGGCTGGGTCTAAGTCACAGCTCGAGGCGGCCAGACTGGGCATATTCACCTCAGGACCCGTAGCATTCATTACAGAGTCCTCAAACGGGAGCCCACAGACAAGGTCAGTTTCGCAGAGCACTTTAAAAAATATTTAATCCACGGCCAACATCTCAGAATGGAGACACATAGGTGCTTCACTAAGAGGAACACCCAAACACCAACAAAGCACCGGCAGCTGGCTGTGGGCCACTGCGCATATGCCTAAAACCCAGGGCAACGGCCGCTGGGCAACACAGCCCCAGGAAGCCCAATGGGCCCCAAACCCTCAAGTTCTCCCACCGTCCCACTGGGGAGACTGGGCCCATAGAGGTTAATCGCCTTTATTGAAGGCCAGCCTACACTGGGGTGTTGGGACTAGCCATGTCCCGCCCTGGCCAAGGCTCAGACAATCATCTCCAGCTGCCGGGCATACTCGATGACCTGTTTGGCCAGCTCGGTAGAAGGGATGGTGGTGTCCTCTGGCTTCTGCTGCTGGCTGGCAAAGCTGTAGTAGTTGTTAGGGCCTAGGACCCAGCCTCGCTGAGGAGAGAGAGGAGAAATAGCTGGGTGAGCCTACAGGCTTGCTCCCCACCCCACATAGCCACCCATTTTGCTATGGCTCCTTTCTTCACGGGGCACTGCTACCAGATTAACTGGAGGCAAGGAATGTCACTCGGTGCCTCGGTTTCTCCAGGTCCGAGATGGGCACACCACCCTGCTCCTCTATGGGCCTACTCTGGGGACTATTTGGCCACAGTAAGTACTTGACAACTGTCACCATCACTCTTCAAATTCATCCCTTTGGCGCTTAGGCCACTTGGCTGGCCTGACGCCTCCGTCTGCTCCTGCCTCCTCCCCTGCCTCCTGGACACCAAGGTCACAATGCCGCAGGAGTCACCCCACCCCACACCCCCAGGGTCACTGCTCTACCCAAGCGAAGCAGTGTCATAGACAAGCTGCTTCTAAGAATTCTAAGAGCAAAACAAACCTAAGAGGCTGGGCACCCCCTGCCATGGAAAGACCAGCAAGCTCAGACAGACTGAGCCACTTGCCCGAGGTCTCACAACCGGATTTAGCTGTGGGCGGCGCTTGTCCTCCTAGACTACCCACACTGCGCACTAACACTGCTGAGACGGGGTCCCATGGCTCCATTCCCCCACCCCGATCCACAGCACAGCCACCTTCTTGGCGTAGTCTGTCATCTTCTTGGGCGTGCTGAAGAACAGGATCCGGGTAGCCTCAGCAAAAAGGATTTTCTCATAGGCCTTCTCGATGCACCCCGCGATTTCATCCCTGTGGAAGGCGACAGGTCTCACCACGGAGCGCGTCCCAGGCCATCCTCCCAGGACTGACTCCAGCACTGAGGGTTACAAAGAACTTGACCAGTCAGTCACAAAGGGCCATAATGGCCCGGCAGCTCAGTCTCTGAGGGAGACTCTTCACACAGGAAACCATCTTCACAAGTCTAAAGGAGGTTCTTGTGGAAAGGAAGAGAGTCCCTCTGGCATGCCTGACACAGGGCTCAGCTCCCAGTGTCGCAGAAAACCAGGAGTGCTGCTGCGCGCCTGGAAGCCCCGCACTTGGGAGGTGGAGGCAGGAGGGACAGGTCCATGGCCAGCCTTGGCTACATGAAACTCTTTCTGAATACCCCAACACCAACCTCACGGCTGGAGTGCAGCTCAGCAGCACAGCACTCGCTTAGTTTGCTCCAGGTTCTGACTCGACGGCCAGAGGGGGAAAATACACTATGAAAAACACCCAGGCACCAATCACAGCACCCAGAAAGGGCGGCATTGGGGGAAGGGCAAGGATGGGAAGTCTGGGGCCCAGAGCCCACATACCTGATGGTATCCAACAGGATGTCAATGAAGAAAGTATAGCTTTCGGCAGGGATGTTTCCCTTGGCCAGGAAAACCTTGTTGTAGCTACCCTCCATCAGGTACTGCCAAGGCCAAGAAAGGAGGAAGAGGATGAAGGCAGCACAAGGCTCCTGCTCCCTTGGTGCCTCCCAGTCCCTGCTCTACCCCACACCGTCCACCACTTAGTCCACCCATGCCAGGGGGCTGGGCTCCTCCTCCTCCTCTTCAGAAAACCTACCTGGCGAATACACTCGCCCTGGCGGTCTATTCTGAGCTGACACACGACCACCTCTTCTCCAACTCTTAAGGAGAGGCCAACCCCTGCCCCACACACCTCAACTGCAGCGCCTACCTGCCAGAGCCGCCGCCCTCACAGCTACGTCAGAGGCCTCAGCGCCACCCAACTCCCTAAGCTTGGCCCCCACAGCTGCACCCAGGCTTCCCCCTGGCTCCACTATCTTTGCTCCTCTTCTTTGCTGCCCCTCAGATATGGCGGGCAGGTGTGAGCCTCTGCCAGATGGTGTCTCAGGCCTTTCAGATCCTCTCTGACCCCCAGGCCCAGGTCCCAGTAACAACGTCTATCACACCACACAGGCGTCTCATTCTCTCGGCACCGATCAGCCTCCTCCCCTCCCCTTCTCTAGATCAGGGGTTCTATCTGTTTGATTCCCGTAACGTGAAAACCTACCCTGATGCCTGGAACACATCTGTTTTGCTGGTTGGTGGATTAAAAATGGCTGATCCTTCTTCCAGGAAACCCTCTCCAAGGTCTGAGCTTGCTAGCACCCACCTCAGCCAGGGCCCCAAACCCCGCCCAGCCTTACCTGCTCGAGGGACACAGGGTGCTTAATGTAGACATTGGTCTGGATGTCCTTGGCAGGCAAGCGTTCTAATTCTGTGTGGAACTCAGCCACTCGGTTCTGAGACAGCAGGAAGAGGAGGTTGAGGCCCAGGAGCTGGTGCATGTAGGCTGACTCAGGAAGCTGCTCCCTGTAAGCCAGGGAGTGGAGGGGACCAAGGTTAGGAGGTCCTAGGAGCTAACCGAGTGACTTTATCTCCCTTCCAGAATCCTTACAGCTACTTTCAGGAGTTCAGACGAGTGACGTACAGAGAGGCAAGAGAGGCCAGAGTCATGGACCAGGCGAGGTGCCTCACTGCACAGTGGCTCGGCCTGTCTCCAGCTGCTAAGGAGCTGTCACCAAGCAACCACACTGTAAGGGCAGGTTCAGTAACTGTAAGAGAACTAAATGGTCTACCCTAGGCAAGGCCGTAAGAGCAGCATCCAGAGGGCGGGCACCCACTAAGAGGAATGTCTACATGAGCAAAGCGCTTGGCTCCATCCCCAGCGCTGCCTAAACCAGACATGTGGTTGCACACCTGTAACCCCAGCCAAAGGGAGGTAGAAGCAGGAATATCAGAAATTCAAGACCAGAAGGGGTACACGCTGCGCTCTCAGCCATCTTGGGGCACAGGAGACAGTCTCAGAAGCAACAGCTGGGCATGGTGGCTCATGCTTTTAATACCAGCACTCAGGAGGCAAAGGCAGAATGACAACACATTTTGAGGCCAGCTTGAACTACATAACAAAACTCAAAAACAGCCAGGCAGTGGTGGCTCACACCTTTAATCCCAGCACTCCAGAGGCAGAGGCAGGTGGATCTCTGAGTTTCTGGCCAGCCTGGTCTACAGAGTGAGTTCCAGGACAGCCAGGGCTACACAGAGAAACCCTGTCTGGAAAAACCAAAAACCAAACAAAAACACTACAACAAACAAACCAGCAGGGGGCAGCACCGTATAAACTCTCAGGCAGGTGGCCCACCTGAACTCTATCTCAAACAACTGGCTGCTATGGACATGTCAGTTAGAGCAGCCAAGGCCAGAGCACTGGCAGATGAAGGGCAACAAGATGAAGTGTACCACGCTGTGTAGAGGAACACAGAGCAAAAATATATAAAGGAAATCAGATTAGAGGGGCCGAAGAGATGGCTCAGCAGTTAAGAGCGCCAGCTGCTTAAGAGCTCAGCACTTCAGAGGTCCTGAGTTCAATTCCCAGCAACCACATGATGGCTCACACCCATCTATAATGGAATCAGACGCTCTCCTCTGGTGTGCAGACATACAGGAAACAAAGCACGTATTTTATATGTGTGTGTGCGTATATACACAAGTAACTCTTTAAGAAATGGTTTAGAAACTTACAGAAATGGATCACACAAACCAAGTGGACTACATAAACCCAGTCTCAAGATCTCCAAGTCAAGCCTCTGTCCTCCAGCTTCTGGGGACCCAGCTAAGAACAGCAATGGTCCCCAGCTGAAGAAGCCAACCAGAGGTAAACGAGCTACCAAGTAAGCAGCCCTCCTCCCCGCTCCAGTCCCCTACCAAGAGACCCAACCTCACTTGTAATCAAAGTAGTAGCACTTGAGCTGGGCCATGTAGCGCTCAAAGGAGGGGATGTCCTTGCAGAGGATGCTCCACTGGGCCCCGATCTCCAAAATGTCACCTGCGAGCAAGGGGGAGGGCCTTTCAGGAGGTGACTGGAACCCCTCCGCAATCATCACTGCCTGCTCATTCCAGACACCTCCCGCCCCCACCCGTCACCCTCACTGGCCCTGGTGACACTCACGGGCCAGAATGAGCTGCTGTTTGGTCAGTTTGCTCCCTGTGGTCGGCAGGAAATTGAGCTCCAGCAGAACCAGCTGAAGGGAGGAACACGGATGAGACTTCAAATACGGATTACTTACATTCTCTGTACTTGAAAAGGGAGCGTGCAGGCATCTGAACTCCCACCAACTGCTGTGAGATTAAGAGAGTCAGTACTTGTAAAGAGCACAGCACAGGGCCTGAGCACACTGACAGGACCAACTG